TCCTTCCCTTCACTTTTGGTTTCTTTTATATTTTTCTTTATTTCACTTTGTATAGCCTTCATTTCTTCCTTCATTTTCCAATCGAGCTCAATCATTTCTGTGACCATCATGATTACCAGTGTTTTGAACTCTGCATCAGATAGGTTGGCTATCTCCTCATCTCTTAGTTCTTTTTCTGGAGTTTTGATCTGTTCTTTCCCTGGGCCATATTTCTTTGTCTTCATGCACCTGTTACATTGTAAGGGGTGGAGCCTTAAGTATTCACCAGGGCAGGGCAACCTTCTTTGCTTTGTTGTGGCACTGTCTGTGGGAGAGAACAGTGCCACTTGCTGGTTCTGCTCTATCCCCACTTTCCATCACTTCCCTCACCTCCCACAAGTAGATTGTGCCCTTTCAGTACTGATTTATAGGTGGATGAGTTTTTGTATGTCCTAGGACCCTGTGGGTCTCTCCTGTGAGACTGAGAGTTTCTCCTGCTGCCACAACTTCCACAGCTTTTTAGAGCCAAAGGTTTTGAGTCTTTAGTTTGCCATGCTGAAACACTGGGTTCTGCAGTCTATCTTGCTTCCCACTTATTCTTCCCAGCTTACTGGCCTACAAATGTGGGACTGACTGGTCCACCAGCCACTTCCTTGGCTGTGCATTGTCTCTGCTCATCTCCACCCCTCCTACCACCCTGAACAAATGTTTGTTTAACTCCTTGGTTGTCAGACTTCCATGAAGTTTGAATTTCTGGCAATTCTGGTTGTTTTTTATTTTTAAATTTATTGCCCTTCTTTTGGTTGTGGAAGAAAGTAAAGCATTTCTACCTATGCCTCCATCTTGGCCAGAACTCCTGGGCTGCTTTTTCCAAATCCTTGGTGTATCAGTACATGACCAGATCCACTGGCTCAGTGTATTGTTAATTCACTCAATATCTTACTGAGGTGAAGATGCAAGAATAAAATGGTAATAAGCATGGGCTATAAGAGCAGATGAACAAACTGGCTCAGACCATATATCCTCAGGCAGTATAGCCCTTAAGTTATTTAGTCCTTTTTTTACTGATGTTATTTCTTCTTTATATATATTTTCATAATTTTTAGTTATGGCTGACATACAATACTATATTAGTTTCAGATGTACAACCCAGTGATAAGATATTTGTGTAACTTATGAAGAGATCACCTAATAAATCTAGTACCCATCTGACACCATACATAGTTATTACAACATTATTGACTATATTCCCTATGCTATACTTTACCCTGTGGCTATTCTGTAACTACCAATTTGTACTTCTAAATCACTTTACCTTTTCATCCAACTCCACAATCTTCCTTCCATCTGGAAACCATCAGAATGTTCCCTGTATTGATGAGACTGTTTCTGATCTGCTTGTTATTTTATCTTGTTTTTTATATTCTACATATAAGTGAGATATATAGTATTTGTATTTTTCTGCCTGAGTTATGTCCTTTAGCATAATACCCTCTAGGTCCATCTATGTTTTCACAAATAGCAATATTCCAATCTTTTTCATGGATGAATAATATTCCATTATATACTTCATTTTCTTTATTAATTCATCTATTGATGTATACCTAAGTTGCTTCCATTTCTTGGCTATTGTAAATAATGCTGCAATGAACATATGGATACATATGTCATTTCTATTCAGCGTTTTTGGTTTCTTCAGATAAATAACCATAAATGGAATTGCTGAGTCCTTTGTTATCTCTTCTATTATAGCCTTCATTTTTATTAAGATTTCATTTATTTATTTTTAGAGAAAGAGGAAAGAAGGAAAAAAGAGAGGGAGAGAAACATCAACATGCAAAAGAAACATTGATAAGCTGTCCTTTGTACACCCCCAACCAGAGACCTGGCCCACAACCCAGGCATGTATCCTGACCAAGAATCAACTAGTGCCCCCTTGGTTTGTAGGATGACACTCAACCCACTGAGACACACTAGCCAGAGGTCTAGGTTTTATTTTAAAGGTTTTTTTTGTCTGGTATAAGTATTATTACACTAACAATTTTTAATTTGGTTTTCATGGAATATCTTGTTTCATTCCTTTACTTTCAATCTGTGTATGTCTTTCATTCTGAACTGAGTCTTTTACAGACAGCATATGTATGGGTTTTGTTTGCTTACCCATTCAAGTACCCTGTGTCTTTTAGTTGGAACATTTAGTCCATTTGCAATTAAAGTAAGTGCTATACAGATTTAATGCAATTCCTATCAAAATCTCAATGTAATTTTTAAAGAAATAGTACAAAAGTGTATCAGATTTGTAGGAAGCCACAAACTACCCCAAATAGCCAAAGCAATCCTAAGAAAAAAGCCAGAGATATCACACTATCTGACTTCAAATTATACTATAGAGCTATGATAATCAAAACAGCTGGAACTGGCAAAAAATAAACACACAGATGAATAGAACAAAATTGACAGTACATGAATAAAATCACATGTATATGGACAGGTAATTTTCAACAAAGGAGCCAAAAATGTACAATGGAGAAAAGAAAATCTCTTCAATAAGTGGTGCTGGGAAAATTAAAATGTCATATATAAAATAATGAAACTGGATTACAATTTGTCTCCATGTACAAAAATTCAAAATGGATCAAAGACCTAAATGTGAGATCTTAAACAGTAAATTACATAAAGGAAAACATAGGTACTGAATATATGGACCTGGTTGTAGAAAACAAACATTTTATGAATTTGACCCCAAAGCCAAAAGAAGGCAAAAATAAATGAATGGGACTATATCAAACTAAAAAGCTTCTGCACAACAAAAGAAACTGAGAACAAAACAAAAAGGTAACCAACCAAATGGGATATGATATTTGCAAACAACTCTGACAAAAGATTAATATCAAAAGTATATAAAGAACTCATAAAACTCAACCACCAAAAAACCAATAATCCCATTAAAAATGGGTAGAAGACTTGAGCAGACACCCCCTCCATGAAGATATACAAACAGCCAACAAGATATATGAAAAGATGTTCACCTTCTCTATTAGGAAAATAAAAATCAAAACTACAATGAGATACCACCTCACATCTGTTATAGAATGGCTATTAATAACAAGACAAGTAATAACAAGTGTTGGAGAGGTTGTGGAGAAAAGGGAACTCTCATTCACTGCTGGTGGAAATGTAGACTGGTATAGCCACTATAAAAAGCAGTATGGAAATTCCTCAAAAAATTAAAAATAAAACAGGAGGAAGGTAGGGAGGGCTGGCGAGGTGGGCTGGGATGGGAGTAAAAGGCAGAAAACTCTACTTGAACAATTAAAATAAAAAAATAATAATGATAAAAAATAAAAATAGAGTTAGCATACGAACCAGAAGTCTCTCTCCTGTGTATCTACCTGAAGAACTTAAAAACATGTATTTACAAAGACATATGCATCCCTGTGTTCATTGTAGCACTCACCATTCACTGTGGCCAATGCATGGAGACAAGCAAAGTGTTCTTAAATAGAGGTTTGGATAAGTAAGATGTGATAGTATACACAATGGAATTCCACTTAACCAGAAGAAAAGATGGAATAGTGCCTCTTGGGACAACATGGATAAATTTTGAGAGTATTATGTTAAGTGAAATAAATCAGTCAGAAAAAAAGCTAAGAACCATGGTTTCACTCATATGTGGGATATAAAACTGAAGTTCTTTGTCTCCTCATTTTGGCTGCCTCCCTGTGTTGGTTTCTATGTATTAGGTAGAGCTGCTATGCCTCCAAGTCTTGGCAGATTGCTCTTATGTAGTAGGTGTCCTATAGGGCTCCAGGTGTGCCCCACTGTGTGGGCTGTGTATACCATCCTGTCATAGTTGAGACTTGATTATTGTATGCACATCAAGGGAAAGATTGATCCCTACATCGATGGGCTGCCAGGAATGGCTATGACTACATCATAGAAGTTGTAGTCATACCCCACAAAACAGGTTTCACTTCAGTGGAGCCTTGGTGCCAGGTGAGTCTACCCCCTATATGTCACTCATGGAGGTGGTTGGGTTGTGCTGCAGCATGTTCTGAAGCTGGCCACTAGGTGTGCTGGTTGTTGGGCCTCCTGGGATATGCAGGCCAAAATCAGCTGCTGCTTGTGGCCTTCCCAGAGCCACCTGGCATAAGCTACATAGTGATCTGATTATGGGTGCTACTTGTGCTGGGCTTAAAGGTGCCCTAGAGAGGCCAAACTGCAAACCACATCCAGCTGCCATTGGTGCCAGAGGACATTTGTATGGAAAAGTCACTGTAAATGACTTAGGTTGGATGACAAATTTGGTGGGTCAAGACTCAGGGATCACCATGGTGTGGCAAACAGTGTTAGCCACATTGATAGAGACTCAGATTAGGCACCCACCTTCCAACTCTGTAGAGGTAAAGCCCAGCAAAAGAATAATGGTCTCTGTGAGAACTTGTCTGGAAGAAAGTGGCCACTCCAACTTTGGCCCAAAGCTAGGCAATTAAGTGCCCCCATATATCCTTAGAGCTTTTTGAGCTGCTACCCTAATGCTGGAGGTCAGTGCAAGTTAGTCCAAATAAATCCATGAGCAGGACCTTTAAAAGGAACACCTGGATGGAACTCCAGAAGCCCTTCATCTCACTCAGCCACCATTCCCACTGGTTTTCACAGTCGGAAGTTATAGGTACTTCTTTTTCTAGCACTGAAACCCTGGGTTGAGGGGACTTGTATGAGGCTGAAACTCCACTCCTTGGGGAAATCTCAACAGCCAAGGTTTTTTTTTTCCAAATTTTAAACTACCACATGTGGGTGTGCAGCCTCCTTGTTCACATCTCCTGTTCTGGGCAGCCCTCCTACTGTTACCATAGCTAGTCATTCAGAGCACAGAGTAGTCTCCCCTATTGGCCAAGATGGCAGCAGGGGGAATTTGGCAAAGAAAGGGAACAAACTAAAGATGCAGAGGAAGAAATTGGTTTCAAAACCCCTCCCTGATAGTAAGACAAAGGAAAAAAAGAAAAATTAAGAGGTACGTCTTTATTTTTATTTTTGCTGGGTAATTCAAGTTTTCATATGCAAGGTTTTCTCATCTTAAAAGAATGTGGTATTTTATATATATGAGAAGTTACCAAAGTAAGGCATAAAGAGCACTAATAAATAAAGGCAAGTGTACTAATCAGTAAGGCCCCAACTTATGAAGTAGAACACACATCTAAGACATCCTCTGTGTGTCTGAGTCTATGTCTGCATCTCAAGGGTGCAAACTGTTGGCTCTGGATGTGGGCATATCCCCCTGATTCACCCTTTGGTTCATCTTTACTCACAACTTTAATAATTCCCTTGTTTTTCTTTGTGTTTTACTACATTTGTATTGTACCCTGAAGGCCATACCCTTGAACATATTCTATTTGTGGCCTTGTACCTGGTCTTCCTCTCAGGTACTTAGGATTCAGCCTCAGCCAAGTGGCCAGTCTCTTCAAACAAGACTTTTTGGTGTTGTCTTCTTTATGCTCAGACCCTACATTAGAGAAAAAAAAAGACTGTCATCAGTCACCCTTACTGGTGTAACTCTGTGGATTGAGCAATTGTGCTAAGAACTGAAAGGTTTCTGGTTCAATTCCTGATCAGGACACATACCTGGGCTGTGGGCCAAGTCCCTGGTTGGAGCATGTGAGAGGCAACCAATCAATGCTTTTCTTGCCCATCAATCTTTCTTTCCTTCTCTTTCTCCATCCCTTCCCTTCTCTGTAAAAATAAATAGAGACAGACTCATAGACAGAGAGCAGGATGACAGGTAGGGGGTAGGTTAGTGGTTAGAGGGTAGGTTAAGGGATGAAGGAATCAAACAAAAAGGAAAAAGGACTCATCGACATGGAAAACATTGTGGTAATTGAAGGGAGGGTGGTAGTATAAGGGGATTAAAAGATAATGGAAAACAATAAAAATTAAATATATGTGTACTTAAAAAAATAAAATAAAACTGTCAGCAGTGTTTCACACCCAACCCATCTTGGTCCTTCCAGGAGAGCCAAAACTGCATAGGCTTGCTCTCTCTTCTGGCACTGCAATCACATACAAAAGAATAATAATAGGCAGAGTAACATCTTCTATATTTAATTAACTCCATATTTTTTATTAGCACAATATTTAATTGCTGCCTTGCTGGCCTATTTATCCAGTGCATAAGGTAGCAAAGTCTCTAAAATCTAAAATGAAATTTCAACCTTTTGCAGGTTAGTTTTGTATATGTAAAATGTAAGAACTATTAATAAAATATTATATGAATTAAAAATGTTTTAGAGTTCATACACTTTACAGGGTGACTTGGAAAACCTGGCTATGTCAATGTACCTGATGTCTGCCATCTGCTCTCTATCTGTTTTGTCCCCTGTGGACATCAAACCTCACAAAAGGTCATATGTTTTCATTCTGATATTGTTGGTTACTGTAATAATTTAACCAGGCCATTCAATTTTGTTTTTTGCAGATGGTTTCTATTTTCCTGCCATGCTTGCCTGAAGTTGTTCCTGTTTTACTGCAGCTCCACACTCCTGCCACAGCCTCCCATACATGACTGGGTTTCCTGCTTGCTGGAGGACCTGGTGCTCCTGCCTCAATTTTTGCCTCCATTTCAGAGCAGAATTTCCGGTCCCACAGAGCCAGGGTGGGTGGACAAACAGTCATGCATGAACTTCATTCCATATTGTTAGGCCTGAGGGTGAACTCTGAGCAAAGGGATTAAAGGTGGGTCCCGGTGTACCTGAGAGCCATTTACCTGACACATTGCTACAACTACTGGTTTTGTCATTCCCACAACTACTGGTTTTGTCAAAAGGGCTCTAGTGTCTATAATTTGGGATTTATAAAGCAACAGTGTTCCCTGCTAACATTTATAGTGTATTACTCTTTGAAGTAACAAAGTAGTAAATACCCATCAATAATTTTCTATGCATGCCCTGAAGTGCTTCTTAGAATAAATTTTAGTGATAGAATTATTGGGTTAGTGTAATAATTTTGATACGTATAGCCAAATAAGACTTTCAAACAAGTTGCTACCAATTTAGACTTTTACCAGTAGCAAATTAGCATTCCTGAGCCTCTTCCTGAGCCTTTGCCAAAAGCACATTTTATAATCTCTATCTCTATTTATCATTGCCAATTTAATAGATAAAAGATTATATTTCTTTGTGAAATATAAAAGTGTCTGTAAAAGTATATTGGTTGGCTATTGCAAGAATACAGAAAACAAACAGCCACAAAGTCTGTGGAGTGTAAGATAAAATTTGTTTCACATTTGTGCACCTGTAGGATGGCTGAGCCTCAGCCAATAGGTTTAGCTCAGCTTTAATTTCAGGATGTGTTCAGATCTTCTTCCTGGGTCTCATTTTCCTGGAACCAATGGCAACCTGGGAACATTCTTCTGCTGGCAATGACAGAAACACATGAGAATAAGCCTCTCTGCTCATATCACAACCACAGGAGTTTCCAAGCAAATCACCTGCCAAGCCAAATGTCAGGGGACAGGAAGTCCATGCTACTTAACCATGCTGTAGTAGCTGTATGACACTACTGCAGGAAAGTGAAGCATCCTGATCAGTAACTCAACTACAACAGTGAAGCTGAACACTATTTCACATGCTTATTAGCAGTATTTTTTCCTTGGGAGTACTACCTATTTGGGAGTGCTTTGTACCATTGGGCAGAGAAGGTAAGTCCTGAAGTGACAATGAGCTTGTAATGCTAGGAGAACTGCACTGAAGTATGTAAGCAAAGCAAAGAAATAGGGAAGGTGGTAGGGAGCCAAGGACCCATGTCACACTGACATGTTCTGATTTAAAATATGGATATTTGACAGGGATCCAGAGCAGCAACAAGAAGAATCACTTCTTAGGCTCTTGCAGTGTTTCAGAGGAGATGCAGTAGAACCGGTGGGAAGCTATACAATTTAGATGTAGACTACACAGAAGATGTGAGAGAAAGATGGGTCAAGGCCTGGGCCTCCAGGTAAGGGTGATTCCATAACTGAAATGAGGACACTAATTGATGATCATGGGTTTTTTTTTTTTTGAGGAATGACCATAAGTAATTCTACTTTAAACATACTTATTTGAGATGGTCATTAGACATATATGTATGGATATTTATGAAGTAGTTAGCTACTTGAGCCTTGTATCCAGAAAAATGGGCTGGAAACCATGATTTGGAGAATCAGCCCTGGCTGGTGTAGCTCAGTGGATTGAGCACCGGCCTGTGAAGCAAAGGATTGTGATTCAATTCCCAGTCAGGGTACATGCCTGGGTTGCAGGCCAGTTCCCAGTAGAGGACACATGAGAGGCAACCAGGCATTGATATTTCTCTTCATCTCTCCTTCCCTTCCCCTCTCTCTGAAAATAAATAAATAAAATATTTTTTTAAAAAGACTACTGCTAAGAGTGATATCAAAGAGTTTTCTTCTAGGAGTTTTTTTTGTCAATACACAATTTATTTTTAGTTTCAAAAAATGTAAAATATACATTGGGAATTAAAATACTGTGTTTTTCTTCTTTCTAGGGGTGTGACATCTATCTTTTCCAGTCAGTAATATTATGTCATTGTACTAAGCCAGTGTACTAAGTCAAAACAGACAGATGACCAATAAAGCTGTTTGCTATTTCCTACTCTTGCTGAGCTAGATTAATAGAAAAACATCCTCACAGGGAAACTTTAACAGGAAGAAAGAATTGCAGAGCTCCTACCCCAATAGAAAACCTGATCTATACAGAAAGGGTTTAAGTAAACCTACACAAACACTTAACATGCTATATGTTTACTTCTAGCATAAGCATACATTCATTGGTACCCAGTAAAAATAGCACCAACATAAAAAGCATATTTGCTTTCATAGCATTAACAACTAAAAAGCACACAGCATGTAATTTTTTTATCTTTAAGTGGGTAACAATGGAAGTTCCAAGACTGTTCCAAGACATAATAATACAAAAACCTCAGATGTAAGACTAGAAATTGATTTTCACATGTAGTTTATTTAAAAAGAACATATCTCTCAGTTAATTTCTACACCCAAATCAACTTACAATAATAGGAGCTCCAGAAATCCTAAGGTAGGCAGGCAGTTGGTGTGAGTAACACCCTAGATAAATACTCTAAAATGGTCAAATATTAAAAAAAAACATTGAGACTGAAGAAATGAAATTTTGACACACATAAAATCTGTGATATCACAAAAAGATTCATGCAAATCCTGCTAGGGCAAGAGGGCTGATGATGGTGGTTACTGACACACCAACAGATATACTGAGGAAGGCCTCTCCCCAAGTGGAATGCTGGATGTATGTGGGATTGCTCCAGAGGATAACAACTCAGAAGTCACTGAGAGATGTGCACTTGGGGAGAATAAATGGTAGATACTAAACATGAAATTTTTCCATGTTTACTTGGAAGGTCCCAGGAGAGTAAGGGAATTTGTGTTTGTTTGTTTGTTTGTTTGCTTGCTTGTTTGTTTGTTTTGACCCATCAATACTTAATATTCATGAAGAGAGGCAAGATGGTAGAGAAGTGAATGGAAGTTGCAATAACCTCCTCCCAGGACCAATGTGGAATTACAACTAAGTTGTGGAGAAATCACCCAGAACGAACAGCTGAACACTAGTGAGAGGGAAGCCTTATAAACTCAGACAGAAGAATCAGCTTTAGCACAATCTGTTTGGTAAGGAGTGTGGTGGAGACTCAAGAGGGAAGGCAGGGAGCACACAGGTGGCAGTGCTGCAGGAATAATTAAGAAACCAGTTGGATCCCCCTGAGAAGTGTGGGGTCTAAACCCTAATCTGGGATCCCCAGCCTAGAACACCAGAGCTGCAAAATGTACACAGGTAACAACCAGCAGCAGAAAGCAACAGGGTTGCTCTCCACAAGGGACAGACAGCTGTAGACACAGCCATTTAAAGGGCCTATTCACAAATTTTTATTTGTAGCCACTTACCCACAGCTTTGGCAAAGGTGTGGGCAGAGTGGGCTAGAAATGCCTCTGGAGAGACTGGGGACAGGAACTTTGGAGAGAGAGTGGAGAGAATACCTGCCAGAATCCTGGTGCTGAGTCATCACCGCTAAGGCAGCAGCCATCCTGCTCAGGCAGACCACTCCCCTGGAAGCAGCAGCAGCCTGAGGGGAAACAATAGCTCCAACTCCAGGAGGGATTCTGCCCTGCCCTATAAGGGTTAAGCCTCACTGCTGAGTACAGAATGACTAGATTAACAACTGAAGGAAATAGCCTTAGACAGTAGATCCCTGGCAGTCTCAGAGCAGGCTAAGATCAGACAGGGTCAACATCACACATTGCCAGAGGCAGAACCAGAAAGAAAAAAACAGTGGTAAATATAAGAGACTACCTAGATGAAATCCATTATGGTTTTCTCAATGATTAGTGATTTTTTTCCCACCCCACATAGCTTTCTAACATTCATTTCTTGTCTATCAACTTTATGTATATGAAGTCACTAGAATTTATACTATAGTTTATTTCTCTCTTATAATAGTCTTAATTCCTTACACCCTTATTAATACTGGTTGATTTGCTGTTGATAGTGGGATTGCAGGGGTGAGATATTCTTGCAAATATGGGTTTGTTCCCTGGGATTGTGGTTTTCTTCTGGCAGCACCTGTAAAACAGTATACAAGATGTGGTGGTCAGAGTAATATTCAGTCAACAAGCTGGAAGTAAGGACTCATCTAAGAATGACACACAAAAATAAAAAACCAACTAATCCCAATGGCCAACACGATTGGCATGCAGGGCATCACAAGAGTATTAAGATGATCAAGGAAACTGCACCACTGAATTCCACAGGTCTCCTGTCATGAAATTTTACACACAAACTCAGGGAGCTAAAACAGAACAATTTAAGAAGCAGAGATTAACAAGAACAGTCTCACAAACAATGGGAAGGCAGAGAAACAATCCCAAATGAAAGGAAAGGAGGAAGCCTCAAAAAGAATGCTAAATGAAACTGAGGCAACTCAACTATCAGATACTGAGTTCAAAGCAATTGTTATAAGGAAGCTCAATGAGCTCAATGAGCTCAGTGATAACAGGGAAACCATAATGAATTATCAACATGAAAAAGAAAATAGAAATTATCAAGAGCCAAAGTAAATGAAGAATAAAATTTCTGAATTGAAGAACACAGAACAAGGAATCAAAATCAGGTTAGATGAAGCAGAGGATTGAATCAGTGAGCTGGAAGACAAAGTACAAAAAACTCCAAGAAAGAGCAAGAAAAGGAAAAAAGACTCAAAAGAAAGGAGAGGTGTTAAGGAAACTACAGGATAATATGAAATACATTAATATCTATATAATAGGAATACCAGAAGGAGAAAAAGAAGAGCAATGGATACAAAACCTGTTTGAAAATGTAGTGATGCAAAATTTTCTTAATTTGATGAAAGAAAAAGTCACAGAAGTCCAGGAAGTAAAGAGGGTCCCAATCAAGAGAAACCCAAAGAGGCCCACTAAACTCAGTTAGGGTCAACATCACACAAAATGGCAAAATCCCCAGACAAAGAGAGAATCTTAAAGGCAGCAAAGGAGAAAAAAGAAGTAACATACAAGAGAGCCCTGATTAGGCTAGCAGCTGACTTATCAATGTAAACATTTCAAACCAGTAGGAATAGCATTAAATATTCCAAGTAACAAAAAGAAAAGGTCTAGGACTTCTGCCAAGATGGAGGCGTAGGTGGAAACACCTTGAGTCTGTGCACAACCAAATCTAAGAACAACAAACTTTTAACAATAATAAACACAACCAAACCAATAAACACAGAAAATCAACAATACGGAGTCAGAAAATAAAGAAATGCTCAGCTAAACTGGTAAGAGGGGCGAAGCCAGCCGCAGAGCAGGCTGACCAAAAAGATCCCAGAACGGGATGGTGCGCAAGCAGCCGAAGGCACGGATCACAGGTGCGGGCTAGCTATGGGGAGACACAGGGAAGAGGCGTGGCTGTCTGTCTGTGGTAGGTCATGCATTTGTGTGCAGATAAGCCAGTGAAGAGGCGAGCATTGAGACCACACAGTGCAGGGCAGCAGGCTCGCACAATTCCGCTCAGATAAACTTGCCGGGGCAAGTGGTGGGATGGACTGGGCTAGTGGAGAGGACCGCCATTGCTCCCTCTCTGACCCCGCCCCCACATACAGCATCATAAACCAGTGACCTGGGTGGCCCCACCCTGGTAAACAACTAAGGCTCTGCTCCTCATAATTAACAGGCGCAAAAGACCAAAAATGGCTCAAGAACAACTCAGAGCCCCAGAGCCCATAAAGTAAGCAATGAAGAAATAGCCAAACTTTCAGACGCACAGTTCAAAACACTGGTTATCAGGATCCTCACAGAACTGGTTGATTTTAGTCACAAACTAGAGAAACATATGAAAGCTAAACTAATTGAAATGAATGGTAATGCACAGGAAACCAATAGTAATGGAAAGGAGACTGGGACTCAAATCAAGGGAGTAGACAAGAAGGAAGGAAAAAAATGATGAAACAGAAAAGAATGAAGAAACGAGAACTCAAAAAAATGAGGAGAGGCTTAGGAACCTCCAGGACATCTTTAAACATTCCAACATTCGAATTATAGGGGTACCAGAAGGGGAAGAGGAACAGCCATGAGTGGAAAACTTCTTTGAACAAATAATAAAGGAGAACTTCCCCAATCTGGCAAAGGAAATAGAGTTCCAGGAAATCCTGGAAGCTCAGAGAGTCCCAAAGAAGTTGGACCCAAGAAGGAACACACCAAGGCACATCATAATTACATTAGCCAAGATTAAAATGAAGGAGAGAATCCTAGAAGCAGCAAGAGATAAGGGGACAGTCACCTACAAAGGAGTTCCCATCAGACCGTCAGCAGATTTCTCAAAAGAGACCTTACAGGCAAGAAGGGGCTGGAAAGAAGTATTCCAAGTCATGAAAACCAAAGACCTACAACCAAGATTGCTCTATCTAGCAAAGTTTTCATTTAGAATGGAAGGACACATAAAGTGCTTCTCAGATAAGATCAAATTCAAGGAGTTCATCATCACCAAGCCCTTATTATATGAAATGTTAAAGGCACTTACCTAAGAAAAAGAAGATAAAAAAGTTGAAAAGTGAAAGGACAGCAAACTCACAGTTATCAACAACCACACCTAAAATAAAAGCAAATTAAGAGGACAGCTAGATCAGGAGTGAACCATAGAAATGAAGATCATGTGGAGGATTAGCAACAGGGGAGTGGGAGAAGAAGGGGGGAGAAGGTACAGAAAATAAGTAGCATAGACAGTAAATAGAAAATAGATAGGGGGAGGGTAAGAGTAGTATGGGAAATACAGAATCTAAAGAACTTGAGACATGTGTTCATGAACTAAAGGGGGGGCATGGTGGAGGAGGAGTGTGTAGGGTGAAGGGGAATGAAGGAGGGGAATAGAACAAATGTAATGGCATAATCAATTTAAAAAAAACGTTAAAGAAGGGAGGTGGGGAGCAAGGGGCGGGGGAGGCTGGGATGGGAAAAATAGACAAAAAACTGTACTTGAAAAATAACTAAATAAAATTAATTAAAAAAAACGTTAAAGGAAAAAAAAGAAAAGGTCTACAACCAAACTACTCTACCCAGCAATGCTCTTGATTAAAATGGAAGGTGAAGTAAAGAGTGTCCCCAACAAAAGAAGGCTGGAAGAATATACCTCCACCAAACCAGCACTAAAAGATGTAAGGGGTCTGCTTTAAGAAAATGCAGAAAAAGGCAAGATGGGAGGAAGATGTCAACAGAGTCGGATGGAATGTATTCCAGCTCACATACACGTGGGTGAAAAGCCTTACCGAGCTACTGAGAAACGGAGTAATTAAGTAATAGATCCGCAGCATTTATGAAGTTGGGAGAGCAGCGATTGTGACGGACGCTGAGGTTCAGGTCAGCGGCAGGTTAGTGGCACATCGGGGAGTCAAGTGGAGACAGGAACTGTGGCAGGGCCAGTGCCCTTGGCCAGGTGGCCCCAGTGCTACAGCCGCTGCAGGCCCTGTTGCTACGGCCGCTGCAGCGGGGCTGGGACTGGCACAGGAGGCATCCTCCTCGGGAACAGGGGTACCAAGTGGCCCCGGTAGGCGACCAGCGTGGGCCAGCAGTGTTCTCCCTCCCCATCTCGGCAGTGCCAGGCAGAGGCCTTTGTGATTGAGTTTACACAGAGAACAGAGAGCAACAACAACAAAGGGCTGTGTTCATCTGTGGACTCTGTGGTTGCCAGCCCTGGAGAATTGAGAGATGCATTGTTGCCACTGGTCTGGCTGGGGATTGGGCTGGGCTGAGAGGCAGGCTGTCTAGTGAGGCTTTATTATTATTATTATTATTATTATTATTATTATTATTATTATTTTGAAAGTGGACTGAGGTGCTCTCCTGTGATGGCTTGGCTTGCTTACCACCTGGCCTGGCAGCGAGGAAGTATTGTGCAAGAGAGCAAGGGAAACAGGCAGCCTGGTGTAAGTGCGGGCGTCAGTATCCCAGTCTGGTAGCCTGGCTGGCATGCGCTGGCAACACAGCCCACAGAAAGGTCCTGCTACAACCAGAAAAACTGGTTTGGACAGTTTAAAACCAACAAGGGATGTTTTTTTCTTTTGTTTTGTTGTTTTGTTTTATTTTTGTAATCACATTTATTTTGAATTTTATTATTGCTTTATCTTTCAATACTTTGTTCCTCCTCTTTCTTTTTTCCTGTTTCAGTCCTTCTTCCCTTCTTCCCAAACTTATTGCCTTTTTCTCCCATCTCCTGCATTTTTTTGTGCTGTTTTCTTTTGTTTGTTTGTTGCTGGATACTTATATATTTTTCATTATTCTCACTTCTTTTATATTCTAATACTATTTCTGTATTCCTCCTCCTCCTATATAGGCTTCTTAGTATTGGCGGGTTACATTGTATTATGTGACAGGTCTCCCATGCTCTTTCCTCCACAATGTATTTTTAATTTTCTATACCTTACACCTCTTGTTTTCCATTAGCACACTACCCGAAGCTTTACACTCCCTATTCAGACTGAACTCATAGACTCGGTCACATGATTGTTGCTCTAATACTACTGTAAATAATAGCTGTTCTACATAACTGTAAACACTTCACAACTAATCTCCCAGACGTTAGCCCACTTTAGAAGTTCCTGAATTCTATTACTGGAGTAATTAACTCTATTTGCTCACATGCTACACCTATCTACTATTCCTTACACTCACCTTACCTCAAAATCTGACCGTCTGCAACCTCACTGCTTTCTAGTCCTAACCCACAAGCCTCTCCTCCCCAACAAGAGGCTTATCTTTTGTCCATCCTTTCATAAAAGTGGCAAGTTGGGTTAAGGATTACAGCTAACATTATATATAGCCTAAAGATCGTATATCTATTCCCTACTGGCTGTGATTGTACTTTTCTGCTGTCATAAACCATTTGGCCTCCCCCTCCAAATGATCACACACACACACACACACACACACACACACAAAGTAGGTGGAAGTGGAAAACATCAAGATACCTGAAGGAGATTGCACCACTGAATTTCACGGGTATTCTACCACAGAAGTTAACACCATAAACCCAGGGACTCAAAATAGATCAATGTAAGAAGCTAAGGTGAACAAGA